CAAATACTACAAATACTACACTACAATACTACTACTACTACTACAAATACTACTACAAATACTACTACTACTACTACTACTACAAATACTACTACTACTACTACTACACAATACTACATACTACTACAAATACTACTAAATACTACTACTAAATACTACTACTAAATACTACTACTACTAAATACTACTAAATACTACAAACTACTACTACTAAATACTACTACTAACTACTACTACTACAAACTACTACAAATACTACTAAATACTACTACAATACTACTACTACATACTACTACTACTACTACTACTACTACTACTACAAATACTACTACAAATACTACTACAAATACTACTACTAAAATACTACAAATACTACTACTACTACAAATACTACTAAATACTACAAATACTACTACTACATACTACTACTACTACTACTACTAACTACTACTACTAAATACTACTACTACAAACTTACTACTACTACTACTAAATACTACTACAAATACTACTACAATACTACACAATACTACTACTACTACTACTACTACTACTAAATACTACTACTACTAATACTACTACAAATACTACTAAATACTACTACTAACTACTACTACTACTACTAAACTACTACTACTACTATACTACTACTAACTAATACTACTACAAATACTACTACTAAATACTACAAATACTACAAATACAAATACTACTACTACTACTACTACTACTACAAATACTACTACAATACTACTACAATACTACTAACTACTACTACAACTACTACTACTAAATACTACTACTACTACTACTACTACAAATACTACTACAAATACTACAAATACTACTACAAATACTACTACTACTACTACTACAAATACTACTACAATATACTAACTAACTACTACAAATACTACTAACTACTACTACTACAATACTACTACTACTACTACTACTACTACTACAAATACTACTACTACTGATACTACAAATACTACTACAAATACTACTACAAATAGTACTACTACAAATACTACTACTACAAATACTACAAATACTACTACAAATAACTACTACAAATACTACTACTACTACTACTACTACTACAAATACTACAACACTACTACTACAAATACTACTACTACTAAATACTACTACTACTACTACAAATACTACTACTACTACTACTACTACTAATACTACTACAACTACATACTACTACTACTACTACTACTACTACTACTACAAATACTACAAATACTACTACAAATACTACTACAAATACTACTACTACTACTACTACAAATACTACTACTACTACTACTACTACTACTACTACACTACTACTATACTACAAATACTACTACAAATACTACTACTACTACTACTACTACTACACTAACTACTACTAAATACTACAAATACTACTACTAAATACTACTACAAATACTACTACTACTACTATACTACAAATACTACTACAAATACTACTACTACTACTACAAATACTACTACTACTACTACTAAATACTACTACTACAAATACTACTACTACAAATACTACTACTACTACTACAAATACTACTACAAATACTACTACTACTAATACTACTACTACTACTACAAATACTACAAATACTACTACTAAATACTACAAATACTACTACAAATACTACTACACTACTACAAATACTACTACTACTACTACTAAATACTACTACTACTAACTACTACTACTACTACTACTACTACTACTACTACTACTAAATACTACTACTACTACAAATACTACTACTACTACTACTACTACTACTACTACTACTACTACTACTACTACTACTAAATACTACTACTACTAATACTACTACTACTACTACTACTACTACTAACTACTACTACTACTACTACTACTACTAAATACTACTACTACTACTACTACTAAATACTACTACTACTACTACTACTACTACTAATACTACTACTACTACTACTACTATACTACTACTACTACTACTACTACTACTACTACTACTACTACTAATACTACTACAAATACTACTACAAATACTACTACAAATACTACTACTACAAATACTACTACTACTAATACTACTACTACTACACTACTACTACTAAATACTACTACTACTACTACTACTAATACTACTACTACTACAAAACTACTACTACTACTACAAATACTACTACTACTACTACTACTACTACTACTACTACTACTACTACTAATACTACAAATACTACTACAATACTACTACTACAATACTACACTACTACAAATACACTACAAATACTACTACAAATACTACTACTACTACTACTACAAATACTACTACTACTACTACTACAACTACTACTACTACTACAACTACTACAAATACTACTACAAATACTACTACTACAAATACTACTACTACTAATACTACTACTACTACAATACTAAAATACTACTACAAATACTACTACTACAAATACTACAAATACTACAAAAATACTACTACTACTACTACAATACTACTACAAATACTACTACTACTACTACTACTACTACTACTACTACTACTACTACTACTACTACAAATACTACTACAATACTACTACTACAATATTACTACTACTAATACAATACTACTACTACAATACTACTACTACACTACTACTACTACTACTACTACTACTACTACAAATACTACTAGAAATACTACTACTAAATACTACTACAAATACTACAAATACTACTACAAATACTACTACTACTACTACTAACTACTACTACTACAAATACTACAAATACTACTACAAATACTACTACTACTACTACTACTACTACAAATACTACTACTACTACTACTTACAACTACTACTACTACTACAAATACTACTAAATACTACTACTACTACTACTACTACAATACAAATACTACTACTACTACTACTACTACTACTACTACTACAAATACTACTACTACTACTACAAATACTACAAATACTACTACAAATACTACCACAAATACTACTACAAATACTACTACAAATACTACAAATACTACTACTACTACTACACTACTACTACTACTACAAATACTACTACAAATACTACTACTACTACTACTACAATACTACTACAAATACTACAAATACTACTACAAATACTACTACAAACTACTACTACTACAAATACTACTACTACTACTACAAATACTACTACAAATACTACTACTACTAAATACTACTACAAATACTACTACTACAAATACTACTACAAACTACTACAAATACTACTACAAAAATACTACTACTACTAATACTACAAATACTACTACTACAAATACTACTACAAATACTACAAATACTACAAATACTACAATACTACTACTACAAATACTACTACTACTACAATATACTACAAATACTACTACAAATACTACTACTACAAATACTACTAACTACTACTACAATACTACTACTAAACTACTACACTACAAATACTACAAATACTACTACTACATACTACTACAAATACTACAAATACTACTACTACAAATACTACTACAAATACTACTACTACTACTACATACTACTACAAATACTACTACAAATACTACTACAAATACTACTAAATACTACTACAAATACTACTACTACTAAAACTACTACTACAAATACTACTAAATACTACAAATACTACAAATACTACAAATACTACAAATACTACAAATACTACAAATACTACTACAAATACTACTACAAATACTACAAATACTACTACACTAAATACTACTACAAAATACTACTACTACTACTACTACTACTACTACTACTACAAATACACTACAAATACTACAAATACTACTACAAATACTACTACTACAAATACTACTACTACTACTAAATACTACTACTACTACTACTACTACTACAATACTACTACTACTACAAATACTACTAACTACTACTACTACTATACTACTACTACTACTACTACTATACTACTAAATACTACTAAATACTACAAACTACTACTACTATACTACTACAAATACTACTATACTACTACAAATACTACTACAAATACTACTACAAATACTACTACAAATACTACTACAAATACTACTACAAATACTACTACACAACTAATGTCAGATAGGGTCCATTACTGTTACATCTAATGTCCAGTACTACAACTCTGTACAACCTGTTCAGTCCCGGTTTAGTCCCGGTTTAGTCCTGGTTTAGTCCTGGTTTTAGTCCTGGTTTAGTCCTGGTTTAGTCCTCATGATCACTCTGTAACCATGGAGACACTTTGTTCTAATGTGTGAAATGTCCCACAGTGGAGCTTTAACTCTGTTCTTTTGCAGGTTTGACGGATTTTCACATTAAAGTCCAAGAGCCGCCGTCTGGGAGGAGCCTGTGATTCAGATGCCCCGCCCCAAACCGTCCTGGTCCTGGTCCAGTCCTGGTCCAGTCCTGGTCCAGTCCTGGTCCAGTCTTGGTTTGGTCCTAGTTTAGTCCTGTTTTAGTCCTGGTTTAGTCCTGGTCCAGTCCTGGTTTATTATTTAACTTTGTTCTGTTATTTAACTTTGTTCAAATGAGAGGAAATGTCCCGCAGTGGAGCTTTAACTCTGTTTTGGTTCTGTGGGAGGAGCCTGTGATTCAGATGCCCCGCCCCAAACTGCACTCAGCAAAATCACAACACAAACTGTCAACTACAAATCAGAATATGCACAAAAAATAAATAAATATAAAATATAAAACAGGACAGATTTATTTTAGTTTTTTTGTTTTGATTTTGAGTGAAACTCACAGATTCGTTCACTCTGATCCTGAGCCAAATGCAAAAAAGAAAATTCCAAATCACAGTCACAATCTGCTGCAATTTCAGATTCAAATTCCCAAAAGTTTTTGTTGAAACAGAATCTTTAAAATCATAAATCATTTGTCACGAGACACAAACAGAAGCTTAAACCAACAGCGGCTCTGAC